TAAAGAAATTACTTTCACAAGGTTTCACCAACTAATCAGGTGCGATTACCTGTACCTGCATTCTCAGGAAATCTGTTCCCGAGAAATGTGTCAGGACGCAAAGTATGAGCACACCCTATCAATTAAAAGCGTACATCGGATAGGACTGCCATTTAGATATCGGAATTCGATCCATCGTGAATATTCTTCAAGGTCTGATTTATCCTGGACACGAGTAGTCATCCCTTGATAACTACCGTCGTTTTTTCCGATCTCGTTAATCCCACTGCAAGTGGCCGTCCTTGATAAGACGCTCATAAGGAGTTGATAACTCGAGAAATGTCGAGTATTCGCAATGACCAGTACATTTTCACCCTGACACGATTTTAGACGTGACTCCGCCGAGGTTTTTGGGTTATTTTTCCAATGAGTAATTGCACCTCTCGTTTTCCTTTTACGGGTAGTACTGAGTTGTAAACCTTCGAGTTTCTGGAACGGGCTAATGAGAATCCCTCGGGTTGCAATCTAGAATTGGGAGTTACGACGGTGAAGGGAAGACCTGGTTCTCGGTAAATATGCGAATTTTTTCCCTCGATATTTTCAATCCATCCTGATCTCGAGATTCTGCAAATCGAGGGATTTTTATAGACATGCGATTTTTCAAATGATAAAACTTAATCTCGATTCACCACGCAGAGACGTATTACATTGATATTCATACATTTTGTGAAGGTTGTAGAAAATTTATACAATAAGGGTAGAGAATGTTCTTGCATGACGGGACAGAGAAGTTCACCAGTTTAAACCTCAATAACTTCTTAATCAATTTAATTGAAGACATCATACACGAGGTTCTCCAGGAGAGCAATAATGCAATCGACAGGATCTCCCTTCGTAATACCATAAAATGGCGTTTCTTTTCGTTCAAAGTCCTGCCACTTATGCTGAATACTCAAATCTACAAACCCCACAAATGATTCTCGACACATGATCATGAAATAAATTTATTAATCATTAACGAACGAATTTTTCTCTTCCTAGAAACGGAAGGCGGGACGGTCTCCGATTTAAGACTTTAAAAAGTCCATTTAAATATTTACATAAACGTCTCGCGGCGACATTTATTTTGGTTAAATGAACTCCGAAGGCTTCTAGATTCTCGCATAAAAATGAAGAAATTTATCTCTTTAAAAGGTCCAGTTTCTCCCCTGAAAAATTGGAGCGAGGCAGTCGAAGGAGAATGCCGCGCGGCTCCCCGAGGAAAGTCGAAAAGAATCCTCTCTCGAGACGTTGACAATTCTTATTGTGGGGCTTAGCTTGTGTGGAAGTGTTCCCCAGACAACGGGAAAGCCTTGGAGGGTGATAAAGAAGTAGCCATCAGCTATCATCAACGAGAATTTTACGATGATGCCTCCGCGCATTAGCAAGGCGGTCTCCGGCTGGCTTAAAACGAGCCTTTCACTGCATGCCTCGTTCTGTCGAGCCGAAATGCGTGTTAGAGTAAAAATGGTGAAAAACCTCGCCGTTTTCAGGAATCGGCCATCACTCTTTAATAACAATTTTTCGCCCCGAGAGGACGCTCGAAAGTCCGGACCTCGCGCGGAACGAGCGCGGCCTCCAATATTCGGTCGGGTCAAACAATAAATCCAATAAAACATTTCGACCGCCCTGCAGAGGACTTGATTCGATTGTTGTTGCCTTTTTAGTTGGCGGGGACTTGTCAATAAAATGAACAGTAATAATATCCCGAGGAACTCTCCACGCCCCGGGGCGCACTCCATTAAAGTAATGAAGAACGTGGACGGCGCAAGAAGAACGGTGACTCTGTGTATCGTTATTACTGCATCTGCGACCGTATCAAGACGGAGGGAGGAGACGTAGGGAGCGGAAAGGATGGCTAATCAATTAATATAGGAAATTAATCAGAGCCAATTAATTCATTGCGAGCGGCTCTTGAACATCCTGCGGCAGAGCGAGTAACCGCGCCTAATACTCTACCACCACCGAGACCTCTTCAATAAATCGGAAGAATTTATATTTCGATAAAATTGCACGTTATGGTAATTGCGGAAAATGAAATCACTCGCTGCAGATACGTAGATTTATAGAGCATTGAATTAGCCAAGTACGTATTTTATTTAAACATAAATGAACGTATTGTGTAGTGTGAAGCGGAGGTGGCAGCACATTTTGGAGTGCAGAGATGTATTGCAATTTTTTTTTTCTTTACGCTAGCTTATGTGAATAGAAAATCGGGAGATCGCAGCATCCTAGAAGCCCAGACTTTCCGTCAACCGGCGCTTTTTTCTTCTCCCGGACGTTTTTCCGCCGGGGCTTTTCCGCGGCCCTTTTTTTCCCTCTGAATTTTCCTTTTTTGGCTGCCTCCTTCGCGGTTATTTTTTTTATTTTTGTTTCCTAGATTCGGCATGAGTAGGAGAATGTTTTGGCGCGGCGAAAAACGCACTTTTCACCCGCGGGATTTCAGCTGCCATTAGCAACCTGTTGCGAACTTTGCAGCAACCTCGGCTGCCAACATCGCGACCCTTCCGCAGTATCATTGTCACCAATGTTTCAAATGTTGGAGTTACTAAAATCCCCCGTCAATTTAAAACTGTTTTCCTACCGAAAAGCAAATAGCCTGTGCTAACTTGAACAACCCCGTGGTCCGGCCCCGGTTTCAATGAAATTCCCGAGAAATAACTACCACGGAATAAAAAATGAGCCCGCGACTCGTTATTATTCCGTTAGCACTTGAGAAATCTGGAGAATCAAACTTACCTACTTTGGAACTCATATTTAAAACCGAAGTGCTGAATAGCTTTGTTAATTTTTCAATTCCAATTAAAACGGCCCCTCGAAGAGAGTCAAAGGGGTCATTGTGCACATTCTGGGAAGAAAGGGGAGAAAAGGCAAAATTATTATTTCTACAGCTTCAACAGCCTTAAGATGGATTGTAGGAACAACGGATTCGCCTGAGGGCTCGGGGAAATATGAATAAATTGTGAGAAATCAACTGGGAGCAATTAATTAATGGAGCGACGAAGTTTGCGAACAATAAATGACTTTTCTCTCGGAATGAGAAACAGTAGGGATAACACGTTATTCGTGGCTTCGAATGTCGTACAAAAGTAAAATAGTAAAATAATGCCGAATTCTTAACCTTTGCGACATCTTTTTACTCGATTATTTCAAACATGTCCGATAAAAGCGGCTTAATAATTCTAGTTCGATAAAACGATTTTCTTCCTTAAAATGAAATTTCCCTGGACTTGGGTTATATCAAGAAATCACTGATTGTTTGGAGGCAAAATCAACTAGATTGCTTGTTTGTTCGGAGGGAGAGTTTGTTAATAAATTGAGAAATTAATTGATGGCGATCGGCGGGGCATATAATTAGTGCGCGGCCTTCATGGACTGCAACGTCTCTTCGGCATCCGATATCGAGTTTTTCCTATTTTCCTTTTAATTATATCAACGTACCGATAAAACGTATTCAATTTTAACGCAATAACGCAATTTCCCGAGAAAGCCCGCGTATAACATACCATAACCCGTAGGAAGCACGTCACCCTTCCTAAAAAGTGGAACGAAAACGAACCCCTTCGGTATGACCGAGAACCATTTATCTCCCCTCGATCCGTCACTTTTTGACCCCATTTGGGGACCGAACAAAACTCAAACTAGATAACGAACACTTTCCGTTAACGAGCTATTTTATTCGGTGTCAAATTGACGATGGTTTTCTCACAAATTGGCAACAAAAAAAAAAAAAAGCAACACGTTCCCGAGAGATTTTCACGTCGTTGGTTCCAAATTTGATTGATTGTTCTTTTTATTTTTTATTTTTTATTATTTTTTCAAAATACTGAACAGAGGGTAGCCAATAGTTACGAAGGCTCTTGAATTTCCGTGGCGTACCTGTCGACGAAATTTTCTTCTATGGAAAATTAATGTCCCTATGAGGGAAGCAGTACGCGAATGAAATTCTGGTGCAGCCAAGCCTCGCGGGTTTTGGGTTTTCGAAAGGTAAATTTTGGCGCAAAATCCATGGTGCAGAGGGTAGAGGCGATTAATATTGCAGGAGATATCGGCGGGTCGGCGAGGAGTCTGCGACACCCGCGGGCGTAGATGTCAATTCCATGAAAGCTTCAATGGAAACTCAAGTCGACCGTTCGAGTTTGAAAGATGAAGTTCGATCTTTACACGAGCAGACAGGCAATAATTCATGCCTTCCGATTTCATTTACAAGGCTTCGGGTTCCACTACCAATTGAAACTTCCGATAAACTTTTAATTTACGTACGCCCCCTCCGCGTGCGCCATGTTACATCTCGTGTGAAATCAAAATCCACTAAAGGGAAAGTTTTAATTGAAAGTGGAACGATCGAAGACGGGGCGGGACTTTTGCGTTAGATCACCGACAAAGGGAATTCGACCCCGTAAGACGGCATCGATAGAACGTGAAATTTAATTATTCTTACGAAATTAATGTACTCCCACCCAGATTTGTTCTCGTCTCTCGCCTCATTTATTAATTTTCTAAAAAGTTAAAGGTATCATTACTTTGTTTTTTTTTTCGTTTCCATTACAATTTTATAGATTCAATGAAACATCGAATCGTTTCCATAGATCTATTCAACCGCGCGAGCGGAAATGATGGTTTTGGGACATTTATGTTGGCAAAGAAGAAAAAAATGGCCCCCGGTATTACTCCACCCGTGGGGTCGAACCGCTACACCTCTCCGAAGCTCGGTTTTTTTTAATTAAACGTTATCGGCGCCGAACGGCCCTGCACCAAACTGTTAACGGTGGAGTACCGGAGCCATAAATACTGTCATGGAAAATGACTTCACAGCTCGTTGCTTCGCCGGCGGGAAAACTGTAAAGAATTGCGAAATGTGTGACGGGAGGACTAATAATTTCGACTACCTCCCAGGAATAATTATTATTAATTCCTAAATCTCGTAATGACGCTTGTTAATTCAGGTCCGTCCAATGGTACGCAGCATATGAAACGCTAGATTAAATGCAGGTACTTCTTTATTTAATAATTACTGTATCGGTATCGAACATTAGCATCGGGCCCTCGAGTATTGGCGAAGGGATATGGTTTCGTTTTTAGTACTTGAATACCGCTTACGTTAACAATTGAATACTACTAATGTCTCTCCGCGAAGCAGTCGCTTCGACACAATACGAACCCCTTGGAGGACACGGGGTTCTCGTGGGAACACATCCAATTAGAGGAACTTTGGATGCAGAGGTACTGATGGCCACTGTTCGCCAGTGGATTGGTTAGACGACTCGTTGGATGACGAACTGGAAGATTCACTTGATTCTCCGGTCGAGGATTGCTCGGTCGTTCCTTCAGGAGCTCCCGAACCGTCTCCGGATGATTCCTCGGTTGGTACCTGGATCGGCTGTTCGGATGAACCCTGAGATGGACCCTCCGTGGTCTGCTCCGATGATTCCTCGGTTGGTACCTGGATCGGCTGTTCGGATGAACCCTGAGATGGACCCTCCGTGATTTGCTCCGATGATCCCTCAGTTGGTACCTGGATTGGCCGTTCCGTTGAACCCTGAGATGGACCCTCCGTGGTCTGCTCCGATGATCCTTCGGTCGATCCCTGAGGAGGCCGTTCCGTTGAACCCTGAGATAGACCCTCCGTGGTCTGCTCCGATCCTCAGTTGGTACCTGGATTGGCCGTTCCGTTGAACCCTGAGATGGACCCTCCGTGGTCTGCTCCGATGATCCTTCGGTCGATCCCTGAGGAGGCCGTTCCGTTGAACCCTGAGATAGACCCTCCGTGGTCTGCTCCGATGATCCTTCGGTTGGTACCTGGATCGGCCGTTCCGTTGAACCCTGAGATGGACCCTCCGTGGTCTGTTCCGATGATCCTTCGGTCGATCCCTGAGGAGGCCGTTCCGTTGAACCCTGAGATGGACCCTCCGTGGTCTGCTCCGATGATCCTTCGGTTGATCCTTGAGGAGGCCGTTCCGTTGAACCTTCAGCTGGGGTCTCGGTGCCTTGTCCAGATGATTCCTCCGATGACTCCTGAGACGGCTTCTCCGGCGACTCTTCGGATGACTCCTGCGACGGCTTCTCCGGTAACTCTCCGGACGACGATTCGCTGGACTCCTCGGATGGTGCCTCCGTCGTCGGCGGTTTTGGTAGAGCGTTAAGGGTACCGTAAATCTTAATTCGGACGTTGATGCCTTCCCCTGGCTTTCCGAATGCTGCGATTACGACGTGCTTGAAACCGACGCCGCCTTTGAGGATCACAATGGTGGCATCCGTTTCTCCCAAGTTTACGGCTTCTATGGCAGTGATCTTTCCTTTGAGCCCGTACCCAGTTTTAGCCACCATTGGTTTGAAAGGGATCGGAAGCTGCACACAAACAATTGCACTGTTAATTTGCATTACCCCATTCTATCTGGATATATATAGCCTCGTCGGGAAAAGTCTAATCCGCGAAGCATGTCTCTTTTGATATTATCCGTTGCCGATCTAGATACAGATTTGAACGATTTATTAGAGTTGATTAGAAATCCTCTAGATATCGTTTGCCGGTGTTACGTAAAGTTCCCATCCTATCGATCGTAATCAAAGTCCAAGGCAGAATATCGTGATACGGTCGAAGGGTCATATCATTTTGTTAAATTGAATTAAACCCAATTCTAACACCGGCAGTTGAATTAATTTTTATAACATTTGTTGCATATTTTCTCTCATGGATGTTTCAAGGAGCAGTGGGAACGTAGGACAATTGGCAACTTATAAAATGCAACGTTTGCCGAATTTTTTTTAGACCACTTAGTTCAATTCCGTCTGAAATTTGAAATATTTCGAAAATTCGAAATTATGCGTGTAAGGATGCATTTGTTCCACTTACCCTGTAGAGGTATCTGGTTGTAGCCAAGACATCTCCCTCTTCGCGTTCCCCAACAATCAGATCATTGGCAAGAGTGCCAAGGGCCAAAGAGAGGCACACTACTGCAAAAATGGCGAATCGCATTTTGAGCCCAAGTTTACGATTTAAGTTTCTGAGTCGACACTCCTCGCGACTGATCGATTGCTCGAATCGTGGATCGGTGCAAGCATTTATACCTTTGCGTTATCAGCAGACAGGTTCGCTTCTCAGAAAAATCGTAGGTCTCACGGAACCGAGAGTTTCCTATCATCGAACGAGTGACAGAGAACTTACGTAAGGCTGTTTGCCACCAAAGTTCGGGAAAAATCGCATTAAGCTGCAACGTCAACGGAGCTTATACTATTTGAAATAAAGCGAAACGAAAGTTTTACATTTTTTACGCGCACGTATGGCGGTAATTGCTGGCATTTTTGGCGGTGACATGTGGCTGTGCCGACTTACCGTCGATATCGATTGAAGATTTTTCAATGGGTTTTATTTAAAAAGCGCAAAAAAATGTGAAAATGAATGTCGCGCGGTGCCGATAATTTATAATGGTGGGTCGAGCTTGCTGCTTGGAAAATAAATAAAGGTGTACAAATAACTGCGGAAAGGATTTTAGGCCATGATGTATGGGGGATGTTTTTTCTTTTTTTTTTATTCATAAACGATGATATTTGACATGGCGGGGGAGTGAGGTTGAAAAGTCGTGGAGTTCTATAAAATAACCATTGAATATATTTGTTATATCTTTCGTAGTGTGGGGCATTGCTACCGAAGTAATGCAACTTCTCATGTCGAGCAATGAATAGAGATAGTCTATCGAGTTGCTACGATAGTAGGTGTGCGCTGTTTGTAACAAGTTTAACAACAGAAAAGTCATTGAATTCCGGGTAAAGTTTCCGGATAAAATTTCGGTTACGTTTCGGAAATGCTGCCGAAACTTTGTACCTCCGCGAGGAAATTCGACGCAAGGACAGTAAAAGAAAACAAGACTATCGAGTCCTCTTTGCAAGTCTAACCGTCAACCGAATAAAATTGTACGCGCAGATCGATATCGCATAAAAATTGCCTGCCGGATTATTTTTTGAAAGGTAGCGAAAGGTGAAAAAAATTTCACGGTCGAATGTCCGAAAGTGCCAAGTCCACAGTTTCTCCCTTGCAAATGTCATCGAAAGAATTCCTCTTTTGTTATCCCAAAATTGGAAATCTGCCTATCTCAATATTTTCTTAAAACTGTGCATGATTAATTATCACGATTAGCTCTATATCCGGATATCAAGGTGCCTAATCTTTAGCGAGAAGAGACAATTTTAAGTATAACAAAAAAACTTTCCGAGGAACCTGCGCGAATCACCGACAAGGTCTTTGGGTTCTTTCCTTTGACTTAACAGACTCAAGACAAACAATATTAATCAACAGCCTGATTTCGTAATAACACGCGTTGGCTCGTGTTCATCGAGACAAAATTTTCCTCGCTGCCTGGGCTCGAATAAAAACTCTAAACCTGAAGAGAAAATTAAAATAAATTAATTTGACCAATCCTGGCTGATCGTATCAACAAAGTGTCTAGTAGCTCATTTTCCGTATCTTCTATTTCACGTAACGTCCGCTCCGAAATATGAATTAGCATGTCATATCGGCAGTCAAAGATAACGATTGCAGGCCCGTCTGCTTGCAAGAATATCTCCAGCTGATACGGCATGGCTACCAAAATATCTGAAAGCTACGAAATTCAAAGGAACAGCTTACGTAACAATAAATACACGGCTCGGAGTAACGGCGTAAAAACAAAATGTGATTTCGATTCACCTGATTCGTATCGGAGGTCTTATCAGTTTCGTGATTCGCGAGTGTACGGAACACTCGAAGATGTTGACCACCGACTTGTAGGGGGTCTGATATCGCGAGGACTGATAACTCGGAATTATCCAAAGTACTAACAGTTCGGGGAACGGTAGTGTTGATCATCGCCATGTTTTATGACGATGCAATTAGAAGACATTCTCATTGTCTTCCTGTAGGCCGATTAAATACTTGCTCGCAGCAAACATTTACGCAATTCGAACAAAATCGAGGGAATTTAAGGGCACACGTGCGGCTGGGAAATTCGATTGATTTAAACAATTACCGTGTTATTCCGGACAAAATTAAGCTCCGATTATTCCTGACAAAGTGCGATTATGCGATTAGTACTGCAGGAACCGATTTCCGTTTCCAATGGGACCTAATTTTTCAACCGATAAATTATGATCACTGATAAACGCCGATCATTCGGCCACGTCGAAGAGTCGCGATTATTAAAGTGACATGAAAGGGTCATTCTGAACAATTTGAAAGTTCAGCACGTGATTATATAGGCCCTAAGGAAGAACATGGTGCTCATGAAATTTCGAAAATTTCTTTGGCGAAAGGTCTCATAAATATTTTGACGTTTCATATATATAGGATGACCCTTTCATATCACCTTAAGGTGAAGTGAAACATCCTTCAAATCAGTCGATTCGAATACAACACTTTTTCTTAAGGGTATTAGACCAAACTGTCCGAAACTTTGACACGTCACTCCTGATCATCTAAGAATTGTCCTGACACATTCAAAATTTGGATTTTTCAAAAAAATCTTTTAACTCAGTCCAGACCAGAACCAAAATGGCGTCGAGCTCTCATATTTCGATCAATATACAATTATCGAAGGCTCTGATATGAGAATCGAAAAGGTCAGGACAATTTTACGACAATTTAGAACACTCTGGTAATCGATAAACTCGCATTTGAACGGGATAAAGGCAAAAAAAGTGTTGTATGCGCTTCTTTGCCAAAACGGTGGTAAAACGAGGTCTTGGAGTGAAAATTTAGTTGACTTGGAAATCACAGATGGCGCAGGGGGTCCCTCCGCAGTCAATTAGGGCTCCAGAGGGCATGAATCCAGAGGATTTCTGGAGTTTTACTTCGATTTCTTTATAATTATTGTACGAAAACGACAGGTGAAATATGCCATTTGGTACAATACCCAATATAATTCGACCCAGCTGTCAATATAAAAACCAACGTCGGCAACGTAGGCATTTAGAAAAATTTTCTTTATCGACGTCGATCAAGTTCCTCGACGTGTTTCACTTCACCTTAAGCCTCTCTCGGTGCAGAAAGAACGAGATTCCCCGCGGTCTCAATGGGAAGGGCATGAAACATCCACTTAATTAATTCTATCAAATTATTGATTAACTTAACCCTTAACTACTGTCGCGACGGTATAAGCCCGAAGTTTATCGGCCCCAGAGACCGCAGCGCAGTAGTTAAAGGTTAACAAGACTAATTTGCTACGACAGCACATTTCGCCAAGGAGTTAATAATCGTTTCCTATCGCAGTTTACGTCGCAGCTGACACAACTGGTATTTCGGTAAGTCAGCTGTAAAATTGAGCCGGCCGTAAATTACGAAATGGATTTCCACGCGTCCCGATATTCGGCCTACGTGTAAACTGGATTTCCCTCCAGGGGAGTGTTTAAAAAAATTACGCAAAAATGTGGAAAAACCACTTTCGACGCATAAAAAGCGGAGGACATGCCTGCCATTTAATTCCCCGAGCGTAATCCTTACATCCGCGAAAACGAAGTACCCCCTTAACGCACAGACGTGCCCATCGAAAATGCGTTTACAAGCATGATCGCTCCTCTAAAGTTAAAACACCCGATGGTAATGCACCGTGAAATTTAAATCGGTCATTACTCAACGGTAATAACAGTAAAGACAACGCCATGGTAATTGGATGGTGTGTTGCGCGATAAGCAGTTAACCGGCACGAGGATACAGTACTCCTTTATTACGGGGCCCGTGTACGTGTACACGCGTGCATGCTCCCCGTGTACCCGGGGCACACCATAAGAGCATATCCATCCCTCGGAAGTCCCGAGCTCTCGGTTTAACTCCCGAGTTAACGGTCTGCGAGTTTAATTTACTCGACACTTCGCGACTCCTTTTATTACGATTTCGGTGGGATTATTTAGCGGTCCTCGAAACTCGGGGGAGGAAACGCGACGTCGGCCTCGTACCTCAAACCCTGCCCTCGGGAATTGACGGGTAACGAGACTCGAAGAGGCAATTGACAATGCGCTTGACAGCGTTAATAATGGGCCGCAATAAAGACGCGATGTCTGAACGCTCTTACCCTCTAACTTACAAGAGGTACCATCTAAGTTACGAAGGATGCTCGCGGACGGGATTTATGGGAGATCACGGGTGGGCTCGATGGGAAATTGCGAATCGCATCATTTTGCACATTTATCGCTGGCTTAGCGGCTAGAGCCGAGTTATGGAGGCGACCGGGCATAAAATTCATTTTGAAATTAATTTCTTCATAGGGGTAATGGACGTCGATCGTGTCGCGCACTTGTAGGTGCGTCCTATAAACAATACAATTCGGTAACAAGTGGCAGTCGGTCATAAAACGATGGCTATGTTTTGGTGATTTCTAACTGGGATTTCCAGATTACTTCCACATGATTTCGAGCGTTAAGGTGAAGTGAAACACGTCGAGGAACTTGATCAACGTCGATAAAGAAGATTTTTCTAAATGCCTACGCTGCCGACGTTCGTTTTTTATTGACAGCTAGATCGAATTATATTGGGTATTGTACCAAATGGCATATTCCACCTGTCGTTTTCGTACAATAATTATAAAGAAATCGAAGTAAAACTCCAGAAATCCTCTGGATTCATGCCTTCTGGGGCCCTAATTGACTGCGGAGGGACCCCCTGCGCCATCTGTGATTTCCAGGTCAATTAAATTTTCACTCCGAGACCTCGTATTCCCACCGTTTTAGCAAAGAAGCGCATACAACACTTTTTTTGCCTTTATCCCGTTCAAATGCGAGTTTATCGATTACCAGAGTGTTCTAAATTGTCGTAAAATTCTCCTGACCCTTTCGATTCTAATATCAGAGCCTTCGATAATTGTATACTGCTGAGTTAAAAAATTTTTTTCAAAAATCCAAATTTTGAATGTGTCAGGACAATTCTTAGATGATCAGGAGTGATGTGTCAAAGTTTCTGACAGTTTGGTCTAATACCCTTAAAAAAAGTGTTGTATTCGAATTGACTGATTTGAAGTGGGTTTCACTTCACCATAAGATCCATGATCTTAGTGAGTATATATGAAAATTGTCTCGTTGGCATTTCACTTCGATTATTTGAAGGTCCTTGAAGTGGGTAATCGCGATTCTGTATATTGTTCCTTTCCGTTGCAGCGAGGGGTGTACGTGCTCGATTTATGAGATGCCATGGGTGGGCCTCGTAGAAAGTGACCAATCGCATAATTTTATGCTTAAAATGGTAATTCCCCTTGTACGGAGAAGTTACGATTGGCGAGTTGAGGATTTATATCCTTCGGAAGTTTAGAGGCCACTTTCGGCGACGCGAAGCGTTCCTGAAGTTTCCCCATAGACTGAGTAAACACCATCATTTTGTACGATACTTTGCGACCCTTTTTATTACGATTCCGGAGCGATTGCTCCACGCCCCGCAATCCGAAGGGGACTTTTGCATGACTGGCCTTCCATGAAAATTCTCATACATTTTTTCCCTAGTCTTTTGTTAGGAATTGAAGCATGTCTTGTCGAAAAATGTCCGGCGCCACGTGCTTTTACATGTACCCATATTTTAAAGGGAAACCGTCAACCTATCGATATCCTTGCAGCAAGCCACTTTCCTATTCGAACAATATACCAGGTCGCATTTGCAATCTTATTGTTAAATTTCATTATACGCCGTTCTGCGATGAATATACTTTACATATCGGTAAATCAACAAGTCGACATGCAGATCATCTGGACCAACTGCGGCACCTCTAATCACGTAATTTGCATGAAATTCTTAAAGCGAGTATTTCTTCTGCTGATATTGATGCACTCCGGAGAACAATGAGCTTCGTTGAATTCTAAACGGACGCGAAATAACACATTATTACTCGAGCCATTCAATTGTCTTACCCTAAATGCAGTAAATCATGACTTTATTTAGACGATTTCGCGACCATTTTGCCTCTCGCTGCAAATTGCCTAATGAGAGCCCCCGCCCGTTACTAATGAATTTATCGTATTTTCCACGTTTACTTTGACGTCCAAAGAACATAATACCCTTTATCCAATTGTTGCGGCCCGCACGAGCTATTTTATGTGTACCCGCATACATTTTAGCATTTTTTTCTACGAGCAAAAATGGCGTTTTCGCGGATTAAATGCACGCACGTGAAATAAACGTGAATGGTTTAAAATAAATCTTAAATAATGTTTCAACAGTTTGGTTTGCAACGTGTATATTTTTTATTTTAACAATATCTTGTCCATATACAAATACATCATAGAGTGGTTAGAGATATAACAATGTTTGTTTATATTAGTTGACGCGACGATGGAATCTTCTGATATGGAATCGATTCGTTATGTCAATTTGCTGTTTTAGACTGTTGCAGATAAGATAGGAACACTAAGAACTTTGACACACGGTCCACGGGTTTGGCAGAAAAAAAAAATAAAGGAAAAAAAAAAGAAGTGTCACTTCTTGAGCTTTCTTTTACGACAATCGCGTTGCAAGGGACGGTCGTGAATACAAAATGAAGCGCTCCCATTATTATTGTGCATTCTACCCCGGCACGTCTTCCCAGGTGTTTGAAACTGTTTGCAGAGAATGTAATTGAAAGTAAACATCCTGCAATAGTGTCCGCATTTGCATGGAATAGTTGGTCCCCTGGTATCTTGATTATAAAACCGTAATTTAAAGTGCACCGTGGTAAAAAAGGAATGTTGCTTTCTCATGGGCGTTAAACCGCGTATATGGTGCCTCATAACCATGACTTATAACGCGTACATTGTCGATGAACAAACAAAGGCAGGAAAGTGACGCTACATTAATTTAAAATGTTAAGGTGAAGTGAAACATCCTTCAAATCAGTCGATTCGAATACAACACTTTTTTTGAATCATCTAAGAATTGTCCTGACACATTCAAAATTTGGATCTTTCAAAAAAATCTTTTAACTCAGTCCAGAGCAGAACCAAAATGGCGTCGAGCTCTCATATTTCGATCGATATACAATTATCGAAGGCTCTGATATGAGAATCGAAAGGGTCAGGACAATTTTACGACAATTTAGAACACTCTGGTAATCGATAAACTCGCATTTGAACGGGATAAAGGCAAAAAAAGTGTTGTATGCGCTTCTTTGCCAAAACGGTGGTAATACGAGGTCTCGGAGTGAAAATTTAATTGACCTGGAAATCACAGATGGCGCAGGGGGTCCCTCCGCAGTCAATTAGGGCCCCAAAAGGCATGAATCCAGAGGATTTCTGGAGTTTTACTTCGATTTCTTTATAATTATTGTACGAAAACGACAGGTGGAATATGCCATTTGGTACAATACACAATATAATTCGACCTAGCTGTCAATATAAAAACCAACGTCGGCAACGTAGGCATTTAGAAAAATTTTCTTTATCGACGTCAATCAAGTTCCTCGACGTGTTTCACTTCACCTTAAAGAACTGCTGATATAAAGGACGAACCGAGCCTGATATAAGGAACGAAATTGATCCTCCGCCGGAAACGATTTCGTTACGGCTGCGTTATTATGAAACGGGGGTGTAAAGAAAAACCGGGAATATCGCGGAGTGCAGCAACTAAAAAGACCGACTAAGAAAAATGGGAGCGAAACGCGGAAACGATACTTTTAGTTAAAACGAAGTTGATTGAACGAAGCGCAATTGGAAACGAGTTACAATACGTCTTGGAGTTCAGTAAAATATGTTTCATCTCGGGCCGTTGTAAAATCGAAAGAGATGATGAATGACGTCATTTTTCTTAGAAATCGAACTCGGTACCACAGGAAATTTGTTATTTTTTTTCCTTCTTAAATGGCCAATCCGTCAATTTGTTTCTACTGGTAAATGCTATAAAATTCAAAAAATTCGAACCTCACTTGAACGTAATCAGATTTAAAGTGTAGTTATTAAAGCTGTGTGATATAACCAAAGTGTAGTCGGGTTGAAGTTCCTCCATAGGATATCGTTTTTCTAAGTTATACGTGTGGACCTTAAAACTTAGAAAGTGTTATCACCGGAACAACTTTGGAACGTCTGCAAACTTTAACCGATGATATAAGCTGATTACAAATTAGATTGCATCTTTGACATTCCAGTTTGAGATTCTTGAACAACTTCAAGTGGAACTAAAACAACTTTGGGAATTTCGGGAGGTACCGTACTACGCGATATATTATTCCGCATCGATTATATCGGGACTTTGCGGGAAATATTTAATGAAAAATATTCAATACTTTTTACGTATGGTAAACTACTTGACCGTAACAGGAAACGAATGAATTCTTTTTTCTCTAATACTCTACTAATGTTTTTGGAAATAACGACTATTTCGCCCTAAAAAAAAAAAAGGTAGACTGCGAGGAAGAAAAATATGATGAAATGATTAGTTTATACTTGCGATATCGAGTAAGTTTAATGAATTATTTACAATTCAGATAACATAAATTCATGTACCTACAACTTAAATCTAAATACCGAATGTCCGTTACCCTTTGTCGATCAGGGTACTGACAATCTTACTACACAGACATCACAGTAAAATCATTTTCGAATCTACATAATCAATATAAATGAATGATAGTTAAAAAATAAATAATGTAGTGACTTCAAGGCTATCGTGTTTGCCCGTCTTTTAATGCAAAACTGTAAATGGATCTCTTAGTTGGATAAAGTTGTATTATTAATAAGTACTACGCACTACAGCATTATAAAATCTTGATTTACAAGACCGTAGTAGTTAATCGGTACGTGCTCAATAATTGATTCTATCGTCAACCATACACGATAATCCCAGCATCTATAGTTTATTGAATGTTATTTATTTGCTGTTTAACTCAGTGATGTTGTTTAAAATATTCCTATCGGAGTTGAGAAGATCCAAAACAACTTATGCGGAAGATGTAGGTGTTGTTTCCATAGATAGTTCAGTTTACATAAGACTACATCTCGATCAGGTGATCGAATTACTATTATTTTTGCCCCAAAAGTATCATTGTTCTGCTTCAATTTTTAATTACATAATTTGGTGATTTCGGTGATTTGTACTCCATAAATGAATTCATACTGAATTTAACGCTATTCTGTATGGAGTTTGAAATTCCCTGAGGTGTGATCCCAATGCTAATGATTACGGTTGTTCACCTAAAGACATAAAGAAAATTAAAAAGTTTTTCCGACATTGCGCGTGTCGAAACTATATTTAAAATATTTAATATATTCTGAAAATGAAATTATTAAAAGTGGTTTTCAACTCACCTTCGAGATTGATTTAGTCGGAATGTACTAAACACTCGTATATTAGCTAAGTAAGTCCATAATATCTTGGTTTGACAAAGGAGACTTTGCTTCCACCGACGCATTATTTTGTATAACCAAGGGTTGTGACATTCCCATCAAGTTTGTGTCCGGTCTCCACTGAGTATCCGTTCTGGAATTCATCATTCCGCTCCAATTCTGATTTGCGTTACTTTGTGGTTTCATTTGATTCCAATTAGGCAAGGTTTGCGGTGATTTCCACTCAATGGGCGAATTCATATCATGCATTGAGCGATTCTGTATTGAATTCGAAATTCCATGAGAGCTCACAGCAATGGAACCACTGTTCCATTGAATTTGATCGGTATTTGTATTCTTCCATGTCGACGTCTGAAACGGAGTGTAATTTGGCTGTGCGGCTTTTGGTTTACTAGCCGACAAGTTTAGCTGTTTCAAGTTGTTTTGCATCAACGTCTTCGTTAAATCTTTCGGCTCTGGTGGTGACGACATGGAAATTTTTCCAGGGGTCAAAGGAGATTGCGACTGCAACCTTTGTTGAACTTCCTGTTGTTGAGCCAGCCTGAAAGTGACATTAAGTAAATGTAGAAAATGCGTTTCAACTTGTTCAAACAATCATAGACTAAATTTTTATCATAAAAACATAATGATCTTATCTCGTATAGAAATTAGAGAATCATAGTGTTAAGATCATGGCGTTTAACACGTGCAACAATATTTTTACCGTTAATGTACATTTTACATAGTTAATGTCAAAGTAAATATTGTTACGTTGCATTCGACATAAGGCGGAATCAGAAATAAAAATTGCATAATATCTTTAATAAGTATTTTTCACCGGGCACTGAAGTGAATCAACCTTGGGATAATGAGTTTGAACATGCAGAGATGAATTCACTGCGCGCTTAACCAGACTCATGTCGTACGCTTCGAAGGAAAACCATAAGATTAACATACACCTCGGTAGCTATTATGTCACGGATGAATTATCACAAATTATACTTTGTAGGGTACTGTATTTCAAGACTTCATCGTCTCCTTTGTATCCTTAGGAGAAAACATCAATAAAGAAAAGTTGTTCACGAAGGATGTATTAAGACCCTATCATTGAAAGGTGGTAAACAACGGCCTTCTATAAAATTAGCACGTGCACTTCAAAAGATGTGAAGTACATTAATGAGGCAGAAATGAATGTAGGTAATAAACTGTAACATTCGTAATGTTTCCACTTAATCACCGATCGCGTTCAAATACTTTAAAATGGCATATTAGTTTTAGTCTTTTGAATAATAAGTAACGAGCCAATTATATACAATATATTATATACCTCTGTTTGTCTCCGAGTGAAAGTGCCTTTCCATTGTTTATGGATTTAGGTGTAGTAACGTATGGCTTATTCAGTTCGAGCCCAGAAAGACTATCATTCAGGTCGACGTTAACATTCGTTTGATTTCCTACTTGTGCGACTGCATCATCAAGCTGCTGAGCCTCACGACGAACCGCATCCAACTGATGCAAAGCTTCACGATGCTCAGTAGTTACACGATTAATCATATCACTAACTAAAGATGCCAAGGCTTCAAATTGAGACGGACTAAGACTTTGCTCCACGCAAAGTGGTAATAGGAACGGTAAAACCCGAGTCGCTAGAATTTCCTTGCTCATGCCCAACTTACTATGAGTTAGCATCAGCTTGTATATACCTAAAAAAGGAAATATGTGAATGAAAGTGACATTATAACGAAGAAGAACAAATGCACTATAAATTTCTTCATTAATGAATATGCAAAGTATACAGAGTATCCTAAAACTCAGTAATGAACTTGATGGCAGATGGCCAAGTTTCAAGTTAAAACTTCTTTCAGCAATTTTTTGTCAGGTAATTATTTACCAAAACATACCAATGATTGCCATAAGAATAGCAGGCTCTCCAGCATGTGGTATTTGTTGCAAGAATGGTAATATTTCATCAAAGACAACCCATCGATCAAGATTATCTAGCATTTTGGCAAGGCACAATAGACAATTAACACGAACTCCAAGACCACTGCGATTGTCTTGTGAGCCTAAACAGATTTTTTTGATCCTTGGTATAATTGCATTTTTCATAGAAGGTCCTTCGATTAGAGATGCAATAGAGGGTAGTGCTGCTAAACAAAGCTCTTGAAGCTTCTCCCAATTAGAATCTAATGCCCGTGTTAGCATTGGTACTACATCGCTTTTTATATCATCTGCTGGGCACATTTTTAATAATAAGTCGACTCTCTGCATTAAAACTAAACTAACCTGTAAAAGAAGTATTTCTTATTAAAACCATGTACTACTTTACTTGTATTATTTTAAGGAACAGAGACTTACTTGGGGAGGTTCCTCTAAAGCCAAAACACTTTTCAGATTAGGAAGTATATACTCTCGAAATTCTTCAATCGTTCCATCTTCTGCAACTTGTAATATACTTGGCACTACGAAAGGAACCATTTGCGCATTAACAAATTCTTTGTAAAGAGAAGGCAAAACTCTGTGCAACGCCACTCTATGAGGTAGTTGCTTCAGAACTTGAGGAAGTCCTTTGTAAAATTGTGATTTCTGTAAGTTATCCCATTGGAAAAGCTTTTCCAAGTAGTTTAATGTTTTCACTCCAATATCTAAGAAATACTCGATCTAATAAAGGGAACATAATTAAATTCTAAATACAATATTTCAATTTTACTTTGTCTAAACTATAACGATATTTCATACCTTGATAAACTGATGCGCATCTGGTCTAAGTTCTGGATTATGACTCAACATGAGTTTAACAGTATCCCGAATAGAATCAGGAAGCGGAGTCAGTTTGGAAGCAATTGATGAACTCTTTAAATCTTCTAAAAATCTGCGACATTTAGATGGATCCCCACGACTATCATAGAGAGTACGATTGCCTGGCGTTAATAATACATAAACCAGCATTCCTAACGAGAAAATGTCACTCGATGGTCCGGTACTACTTGCTATAATACATTCTGGAGCCTGATAATTTAAATCTGGCTGAGCTATCGCTGGAATGGTTGGATCATAGTCATTATATGACCAAGAGGGCTAAAAGAACATGTGTAATCATTAATTCAATACACATTAATAATTATTATCAATAATATATGATAACTAAAGCATAACAATTTTATTCACAAATATACGTAAAATTGATATGGATAACTCATAACAAATTACTCTGTAAAATTTAATCATATAATAAGACAATCGATGATTCTGCAGTTTTGCACATTACATACTATTACTGCTCTTTTCATAAAATATGAATTTGAAATATGCTCACCTGTTTATCATGTGGACTTTGATTTAAAGCACAGAAATCAAATCCAAAAATTTTCCATGCCCCGTGTCCATTAATAACAATTGATTCAGGGCACAAATTTCTATGTACAAGCTTAACGTCACTATGTAAAAATGCCAAACCTTCTCCAAGTTGTAGAAGCCCATAGCGAATTTCAACGTCAAGTAATTTATAATCTCGTAAATTTGCTGGCAACGGTTGCGGTAAATTTTCTGAACGACCCAACACATTAGCTAAACTGGCGAACACAGGCTCGGTAGCAAATGCGAGAATATCTCTAGATTCTTCCAGTGGGTGCTGGACAATAAGAATCTGAGGATGCCTCAATTTTGTCAATTGCGTCACTCCTCGCTTCAAAGTCTCCAGAACGGCTTCGCGTTCATGTTTGGATCCCCATCTGTCCAGAAGACGTTTCTCAAATACGAATACCGTTGCTTCTTGTCTTGTTGATTTTTTATAACCACTGTAGACTTTCCACAAAAGACCAGGCCCTGCGCTGGCGATATGGGCAGTCAGTTCATACTCTCTAGTCACTAAATTACCAGGTAATACAGTGGACAGCTGCGATAGCCCATAAGCTGTATTGGTTACCGTATTACTAATAGTATTACTGACAGTATTTCGTAACTTGTTCAGTACATCCATTGTACTTTGACAGCTTTGAGAAACAGTAATGTAAACACTCCCCTTTTGACAGTTGAGGGGATTTTCACATATGGAATTCCGTTATAATGCCTAGGTACGAATAAACAATGATTATCAACTTTTTTAAGTAAAATAGTATGCAAAATTTATAAAACAATTCTCCATCTTCACTCACCTCTGGTAACATAACCCTGTAAGGTAAATCTATCTAAATCAATGAAGCTACCAGAGGTTACGTAGATATGTACGCACCCAACTACTATCACGAAAACAGGTGTGAACAGGTGTGTCAGCTACTGGATTACCATTAAATCCATGAAGAATATACCAATGAATACGAATATATACTTGGTGTTGATTCTAACATAGATATCCTATATCATCCGTCGTAAGATGCGAAAACATGAAAATAGTTCCATCGAAATAGCGCTGCAGTCGAAAGCGATGGTCGTACAGTATTCTTGTAATGGAAATATTAAAAATATTCTCTTCGGCACATCTTGGATCTAATTTATGATGATTCCCAATGGCTTAGCATTGTAAGAGTCCTCAAGATAAGAGAAGTAAGGACAACCTCGGTTCTTGAAACCCAATTTAATCGTAAGTCCTCATTTCTTGCCGACAAATTACACGTCACGGACATAGGTGCACTTACGAATCAGGAGCTGATCGACATTCGCTTCGCTCCTTGGAGCGATAGCCATCTAAACTCTTCATATCGCTCGCTAGTCGTGTACCACGACTCGAATCCTTCGCACAAAGGCTTATTGCGCCAATAGGAAAGTATTTAGCCAAACAATAGCGTCTGCCTTTTGCACAACTATCAATTTCGATTGCGAGTCTCGAGAGCGTAGAATAATTCGGTAAGGAAGATAAAAGAGCACGCAATGTCAAAGAAGGGAATTATCGGGCTTCCAATAATCTGGATTACGATTCCTTCTTGTACAGAGGTTCGACCCGACGAGGGGAACGAATTCGAGTTATGTAAACGAGGCACAACGTAATTTCCTTCATGAATATCTTCCGCAAGGCACCAGCCCATGTGCTCTCCCTCGACGTCCTCCTCTAGGTTGACCGGGCTCCGCTTTATTCCACCAAAGAGTCGGCTCCGTCGGGTGGAACCGACGAAACGATGTTGCCCGATAAACTCGTACCGTCAGCTCATCCTCTCGGTACTTACCCTACCTAAATATCCGGCTTCTGCTTGCGAAAAGTCGCCGATATCGAGGAACACGTGCTGGCCGTCGAGAGGACGCAACGTCTCTTAATGTGGAACTTTGTTCACTTATGCAGCCATATACCGTAGATATCTATTTACAACATGAAAATAAAGAGAGATAGGAGCTGGTAGATGAGAAATGAACGTTTCAAGGCGCCTGTTGAAAATGCGGAGCCCTCAAGGCTCGGGAATGGCACCGGTACTTGTTATTAATCACTTCGTAAAGATTTTTCTAATTTTATTACGAAACGATATGCTCACTAAACAAAATGATCAACAAGCAACGTTAAACCACCAGTCACACACCTGAAGAGACTCATTGAAAAGAGTGCCGTTGGGGCACGTCATTGGGACGCCATTTTGATCTCCGTAACAGACGTAAAAGATCTGAAAATATAAAATACGTCATTTGTATACATCGCGTAACGAAATTGTACTATATACTTATAACGATGATTGATTTTTATTCCAATTGGTAGTTTTGTTCAGTTTGGATGAGAAATCTGTAAACCGGGTGAAAACACTCACCTGGCATCTGGATGCTCTGTCTGCTAGATAAATATGGGTACCAGGTGCAACGGGACACGGGAATCTATTCGTGTTATATCTTAAACGATGATGCGTGTGTTGCCGATGAACGGGATAGTCTCGTCCTGGAACTCCAGGTATCGCCCCTACTTTCCTGGCAGCACCTGTTTCCGTAAAAACGGCAATTTAGCTATCTACCATTATTAAAATCATTATCTTCGATTTCGAGGAAACAGTTTTCAGTCCGGTCTAAATGAGTGCTTAGCGATGATACATCGCGACATAATACCGTGCCAGAAATATAAAGCAGTATGTGCGCCCAATGCTATAATCTCCTGAAAAAAAAAAAAAAATGAGGTGGCGAAAAAATGTAATTCCCTAAGAATTAAAGGGAAAACGGAAATGTGCAAACTCGCGCTCCATCAAGTTATCCCGCGAAAGTTGTAAAAGGGTTTCAACGAATCCAGGTGAATTTTAATCGCCGAACCAATTAACTCATCCGAGACGAATGATTATTTAACATTCACCGAGAACTTTGAAGTGGTTGGGTAATTCCGTCGGCCGCTTCCTCCAGTGGACGTTCTTCTTGGTCGGCAGGGAAGTCACTTCCGGTCTCCGTGGAGGTTCTTCGTCCTCCGTATCTTGTCTATATCTGGCGCTTTCCCAGGAGGATTCGTCGACACTGCCACCGTTCAACCTCACCCTCAGAGCTTTCACTGTCACACTTCCATCGTCATACGAGGAGTAAACGTTTCTCTGATGAGTGGAGGTAGTCCCGGAAGAATAATCCTCCGGTCCATTGATGGCGTCGGAGGCTTCCGGAGTGACCGGTCTCTCGACGACATCCAAGGAGCCCGGCGTGCTCTTCGGTTGATTCGTTTCGGGATCCTCGGGAGGATTCTGATCCTTATTGGGAGCGGAATCCGTAACATTGAGCGGCTTTGCGGTGGTGATCTCATAAATCCTGATGCGTCTGGGCGTAGTATTAGGCGGAAGGGTCGTCACCTGTAGGTCGGCATCCAGGGCGGTGGGATCTCCGTTCTTCTCCTCGTCGAAATTGTATTCCGGCGAGTAAGATTTGTAAGGTGGAAGTAATATCGGCGAGGGTGCGGTATATCTTCCGCCGGGAATTTTCGTCCTTAGGCGGACGTTCCTCCGCTGGAACTCCGGAGGCTTTTCGTCGGACGGACGGCGATCCGGAGGTTGAATTAACGTGGAGAACATTCGGGGCTCTTCGGTCTCCTCCTTTTTCCGGGACCTTCTGGTGGTTTGAGGTCTCTCGGGACTCTGACGAGCGACCGAAAAGGATCTCCCGCGGACGGAGTTGCTCGGACTTGTTCGGTTAGACCAGGTTGTTGATAACAGAGGATCCCTGTAACGACTGCTCGCCTTCGTCGCTGATATTCTACCCGGGCCCATTGTCGTTTGCTCCACCCCGTCGGTGTACATCCCATGTACGAGTCCTGTTAACAGACAATGTAACACAATGCTGATAACTTTCCAATTAAGGTGAAGTGAAACACCCTTCAAATCAGTCGATTCGAATACAACACTTTTTTTTAAGAGTATTAGACCAAACTGTCCGAAACTTTGACACATCACTCCTCATCATCTAAGAATTGTCCTGACACATTCAAAATGTGGATTTTTCAAAAAAATCTTTTAACTCAGTCCAGACCAGAACCAAAATGGCGTCGAGCTCTCATATTTCGATCAATATATAATTATCGAAGGCTCTGGTATGAGAATCGAAAGGGTCAGGACAATTTTACGACAATTTAGAACACTCTGGTAATCGATAAACTCGCATTTGAACGGGATAAAGGCAAAATAAGTGTTGTATGCGCTTCTATGCCAAAACGATGATAATACGAAGTCTCGGAGTGAAGATTTAATTGACCTGGAAATCACAGATGGCGCAGGGAGTTCCTCTGAAATCAATTAGGGCCCCAGAAAACATGAATCCAGAGGATTTCTGGAGTTTTACTTCGATTTCTTTATAATTATTGTACAAAAACGGCAGGTGGAGCATGCCATTTGGTACAATACCCAATATAATTCGACACAGCTGTCAATATAAAAACAAATGTCGGCAACGAAGGCATTTAGAAAAATCTTCTTTATCGACGTCGATCAAGTTCCTCGACGTGTTTCACTTCACCTTAAATCGACCTTATACTAACCGTAGGATTTATGCAATATGATCGGTACACAAGGAACATATTCCGTTCTTAGATAATGTCAAAGTCTATCGCGCCCTCTCCTATAATTGACATTGTTATTTAAATGAAATTCCTAAACGCTCTCAGAAGCGCATTTGTGATGCTAATTCTAGAATTCAAGTTTATTTATCCTGGTGGCTAGATTACTGACCCGTGAAGAACAGGATATGAGTCAGGATAGTCCTCATAGTGTTATACCCTCTTCCAAGAGGATCGCTCAACTGACCGATGTAAAAGTCGCGTATAAACTGACCCAAAGGATCCTTCACGGCTCGTAACCTCGTACTAAGGTTCTTGGAGGGAGGGCTCGTAGATCTAAGTACAAAATGAGAAAAACCTGGCTTTGATCGTGAAAGTACCCCCGCAAAGAAGCCTGAGGTATTGGTAACGAATTCTAGTTCCCACGACCAACGGAATTGACCGATCGCACCAGCTCCCTTGAACGGGGTGCACGAAAGTGAGACATCATTCTTTGCTCGTTCGTCTGCTCGTTCTCACAATGTCACCGTTGTGAAAGAAATGTATCATTGTCTTCGCGACAAAAGCGCTCCTTTAAGCTCGTAAGCGCTCACGCAAGGAATAATAAGATGTTTCCTCGATTGCGTTTCGTGATTAAGTTTGTGCAAGGCTCTACATGCAAGACTGCCCCGCAAATGGGAGACAAATTGGTGGCACGGTTTAAATTCATTATACACTGTACAAAGTGCTAGCACTGGTAAAAATAATCTTTCGCGGGTGTAATTACTAGGAGCTTAATATAAAGTCAATATTTTCTTGCAATAAAATTCGGTTGCAAGTTTCTAACCGAATAAAAAAAGACGCTACGTTAATGGCAGAACATTGCTCGTCTACTCGGCTGCAAATCGTAGAAGAAATTGCAAATAAATCCCGGAACAAAGAAACGATTAGTCAAGCTATAGAATTAATAAAGGAAGGAACTCGTGCAGCGGGTACAAATTTCTATTTTGATAGTTATATGGTTAAGCGGTTGCGCGATCGTAGCGATACCTTCAATGTTGCCCTTCTTTAATTTCGAAGGTTGTGCAACTTTTTCCAGACAAGCATTGTGAAATTCGTGAGGATTGCAAAACTTGCGGGAAATCTTAGACTATGGAGAACCCTGATACCTCTGGGATCGTATAGATTATCCGGCCGCAAATTGCGAAAATAGGTCTCCGGTGCGTACCAATAAACATAACTCATTGCGGGAAATTGCGATATGTCGGTCACCTTAAACCTTAAATTCCCAAAGTGCCGATAGGAAAATGATTTCTGGGTCGTCCTTGTCCGAGCGGACGATGTTATCGTCGCGCGATTTCACGTGGGTTTCCTTGAAAAGGAACAGCGGTTCCTCAAGTGTGAAAGAATTCTATACGCATGGTGCCTCCGCAACTACATCCGTCCATTGCTGACGATGATTAAATCCGGGTTCTATTCTGCGGATTATCTCGGGCCGATCGGGTAAAAGAAATTTCGATTTCTACTTAGTTGATTGCAGTCGAACAATCGGAGAGAGTAAATCAACCGCAATAAGATTATTCAGTTTTCTTGTACGCTGCGGTAATGCCCTTGACTCGAAGTTTCTTCGTTTCAAATTATCATTCGATTGATAAGCGATGCAAAAACTGGCTCGCTACGTGTTGATCCAATGCACCTAGCGTGGAAATCTTTCCTTTAAATTAAGTCAATAAATATTCAATAACTTGCAGCATGTTTTGTGCGCCTAACGCCATAGTCGCGCAATTCACATCTCAAGAACTTATTGATCCTAAATAAACCTAAAATATCATTTTTTGTACACCCACCTAGGAATGCATTCGCAATAGTGAAAATCAGTGAAACTTGTTAGGCTGTTTCAAAAACTTCGTTTCATCGTAAAACCGTTTCATCGTTCGAAGAATTCCTCGCATACTCAAACAAAAAATTCACTTTCACAGGAGTTTATTACAAAGTTCTTCCTTATATAAATACGATTCTTTATAGAAATACATTCTCGCGTCAATACAGAACTCTTCAATATTTAAATCTATAATATATACATTTTTGGTCGTAATTTTAATTCATTAATAATTTCAATGATTCGTTTGAATACCTACGACTTACGTGAAGTTTGGTAAAAATGTTCGTTAGTTAAACGAATTGTTTCAAGGTACTTATCTCGTAGTAGATAATATCACTTTTCAAACAGTGTTATAAGTTCATAAAAATATCTACTTTCAACGGTTCAAATGATCGAACTACCCGTGAAATAAATATGACGCTGATTCCGTCGACAATCGTTGGCATAGCTTAATTATTTACTACAGTAACTCATTATAAAGATCTTAATATATGTTACTGTATCAAATAGTTATAAAAAGCAATCTCTCGTGTTAAGCTATTGATATTACAGTAACATTTACTTTAGGCAGGTAACCATTGCTTAGATTTAGTCACTTTTAGGCACCAGATTTGACGATCCATTCCTATAGAAAAATTAGTGTCTTATATGGCATACCACAGTCTTATCACGTTTGCGCGCACCAAAAGTACACCGGCTATATTTTGAGATGTAAAAAAGTTTAAGTATGTGTAAACGTATACTCTAGATATATATGTGTGTGTATAATCACAAGTTCGACTTTATATCTACATATATAAAAAATCATCTGTATTGTACAGGATGTTTCAGTATTAAGCGGTTGTTCATTTAAGTATAGGGCTTCTAATGAATTACAATTACAGTAAGTATAAAAAATGGCAGTCATGATGTGTGTAGTAAATCTATACTACATATATTATTTACGAGTCACCACGTGAAACTGGCGTCGAGCATTATCAAACGGTATTCAATGTATCATTAGCAAGTTTTTGCGACTCTGAGTCTTCCTTATCTACATTATTTGATGTCCGATGTACCAGAGGAAGCTCAACCTCTTTTCGTTCCTCCTCCTTAACGGGAACACCGTTGATCTGCTGCGGTGGTATCAATCGCTTATTAACTATTTGCAACCACACCATAGCTAACACCAGCATTCCGCCAGTAATACCAAAAGTATGATAGGTACCAAAACGCGTATAAATTAAGCCGACAAAAACTGGACCCAAAACCCGGGATGCACATCCCGCACCAGTCATCAACCCCATCCACACCCCTTGTGGTCTAGGTCCAAGAATTTTGCTAAAGATTGTCTGGATTAAAGTGACACCCAAAGGGTATCCAGTGGTGGTAAATCCGTACCCCACCAAAAATTGCAGTACTGTCATTTTTGGAGTATAACGGCACCATTCTTGAGTACTTGGACAACCAAGTATTTCCGTACCATTTTTATCCCTTGTAGTGAATGTAAGTGCTAGAAAGAGCAATTTACTATTAAAATGTGAACGTAAATAGAGCACTCACTTTCTTCGGTGTCAGAAATTTACTTACGGTCAACTTCAGCGATTATTGGCATTTCGGAACCAAATGGAATGTAAATTATTCGTCCAATTACCATGAAAAGGAAGCCGCCCCAAAGCATAACCTTTCTTTCCGCAAACCTAGAATATTAAGCCGTTAAGTAAATATATTGAGACAAAGAGATCCCGTGGATTGAATAATCACCTGTCACAAAGTGGCTTGATCATTACAAATGTGATACACGCTACGATTGCACCGATGCTCATTAAAAGTCCCATGTAATATAAAGCTTCTTTTTTGGACCAAGCAAATTGGTCCATTGTTAAAGAAGTTCCAAGCCTGTAACAATGCATTCATTTGTAACTGGATTAATCAACTTAGTATAATCAATAAGATACGCGATTATTTCTCCCATACTTTAGCACCGAATTATACCATTATAATTTCATATGTAAAGGAATAGCAGATTTACTTACGTTTCTAATAAAACAAAATTGAAAACCATGACAAAAAAGGCACAAATCAACGTCCAAGATGCTAAGTAATCAGGTTTTATAGATTTCCATGTTTCTTCCTCTGGAAAAATATTGTAATGTCAGACTATTTGTAAACAAAATTTGATGAAAAATACCTATTTTTCAGAAAAATCACATTTATTAAAATTATCGACATGTCTTTGTCTAACGAACAATTAAAAATGAATTTCTTACAATATAGTTTCTACCATGCCTATGGGTAAAATAAAAGATATGCTATCATCGTGCTTGTTGTCGTGCACTCTGTACCTGCTATTATTACTCACAGCGATAAATTGATTTCAGTGCGATATGGTCTTTTCTCATATTTAATTGACAAAGCCATGAACTGAAAAGGTCATTATCCTACAGCATGTGTATAGTGGGATAAATACGAAGAACATAAGCAGTTACAAGTACTTTACGATCTACTTCTTGCGTTATTTGACCGATTCTATACATACCAGAAGTTTTTCCTTGATCACGCATGGCCTCTCTTGCTGCAATTTTGCATTCCTTGAAATTCCACGGGAGGAACATAATAAAATTCATAACGCCCATTATCACATTAATCCATCCAGCCATAGTGTACATGTTAAAGGGCAAGCCCAGAAAGTAGAATCCATCATCTCCAAGCGGTGTTACCGCTGCTTGCAATCCAGGCCCAACAACAAATCCTAGCACCTGTAATGAAATAGAACGAAAAATTAACAACACAGCAACAATATTAAATTATAAATGATTTTTTACGTCTACCTGTGCGAGAGACACCATAGAAACTGCCGGTGTCCTTTCTGATAATTTTGTAGCTGCTGATAAATATGATCTTGCCGCCGCAATATTTGCTATAAAGCCAGTTTTCAAGATATATTATCAAGGAAATATATGTATGCCAAGATTTATAGTTGCCAATAAATACTGGACAGGTATAAAACTGACTTGAAAGAAATACTTCATTACGTACCGGAACTCACGCCAACGAAGAACCTTGCAGCGATCATTGTATACTTGCGATTTGCTGGTATAACTTCAAGGGCACTATAACCAGCAGATGCAAATGTGAAAAGTGCCAGAGTTATTAAAAGAGGCAATCTCACCGACCCTCTTTTATTACCCCACCACCCAACTAATGGCGAAAATAACATCTGACCAAGGGGGTTTGCAGCAACCACATATCCCATGAATTCCTTTCCAGCGGTGGGATCAAGCTACAACAGAGATTACGTGTCAGAACGATAACACGATTTTAATCATTTCCATGCAGCATCCATCAGAAACAAAGATAGTACGAACCTTGTCTAAGTACGGCCATACTCCAGTAAGAATGATACTAAATCCGAGAGACATTAGAAACATGGTAAAGTAAATAATGTAAATGCTTTTCCATCGGTCCCGCCTTTCTTGAGCTGTTTCGAGATCATCGTCATGTTGCGGAGATCGACTACGGAGAAAATATTAAACCCTGATTTCTAATGCATAGTTTCTTAGTGAAGCGATAAGAATATTAAAGAGAGTGGTAATCAAGACGAGATCGAGCTCGATCAACATACTTTGTACGACAGACTTTTCTGAACCAATCTATCACGTGATGCCAGAATGACGATGACGACTCTCCTCCCAAGTGTACTGGATGTTCCGATTTAACGGATACATTGGTAGTGCTTGCTTCCTTTCCAGCCATTTATATAAAAGCTCGTGGAGCGCTAATGAGCTGAAAAGTAAAAGTATACCGTGACTTTAATAACAGTTCTTCGATGACGTTCATCTTCACTCCGTTTAATCATTTCCAATCAAGACCCACTAGCAAACTCTTGGTAAAGAAATATTGCTGAGATAGGAAGACTTTCTTTTTGCCTAATAAAAATATTCATTCTGAAATACCAGAATGGATGAAAAATGGATTAAATTATATTATTTTAATAAATAAACGGTTACCTCCGTTAATATTAGTGACTACACTTTAAGAATGTAATTGATCAGTGATTAGTGATCACTAGTCTTCTGTCTTATATTGCTCATCGTTAAGTCACCTTTTGATCTGCAAAAAGGATCGTTCATGTTATTTAGATACAATGTCAGTCTACTATTTTATTCAACATTCTACAAGATATCCTTCAACTGATAATTTTTAGTTCTTGATAAGCACGTTAATGAACATGTTGAATATAAATCTTTAGCGTTCCATTTTAAATACCTTATCACGTTGCTAGTAGAGATCGATCATTAAAAATCATGTAAGTGGAGCCAGGAAAACATTCCAATGCCAAAGATATACTTGGCACCTCTGCCTTTACGTCGTCAGTTCTGCAAAAACAGCAAACTTAAGATTCTGCTTCTATACTGCAAATGACATTGCAGCATTACAAGATGACTTCGGTTAACTGCGCCGATATCTTATCGATGAAATAATTACATTCGCGAAGCGTCTGTGCTATTCTTAAAAACAATCATTCTTTTATACTCAATGTATAGATAATGCAATATCAAGCCGTGCATTATCTACATAATCTACAAATTATACCTTATCAGTACTTCTCCACGTAATTGAATGATATATAAATTATTGATATCCTCATAATTTTTAACCGACTTAGCAAATTAATTTACCGATCACGTATCTTATACATGCCTGATATTAGAAACATGGACGAGTTTTTATTACGTGCACAATTAACCGAATGATAGTACGGGCTACAGAAAATGATATTAAATCAATATCACGAAATACATGTTAGCCTTAAGAACGTTCTTTTTGTAATAAAAAGACAAGGAGGGAAATCATCGCAAATTATATGGTCAAGCTCAACTAGAATTCTCTGCTAGTGATAAGTACGAGATAGCGTCGCTTAATCAGTAGTCGACCAGTTGTTACGGGTCAATCAGAGAAAAGTCAGTCTCCCAGCGACCTCAGATTCATGGGTTTAAACTAAATCGCAGACATTACAAAATAATGTAGGTTCGATATGATTGCACCGGAATATCTCTATGATGTAACTTTCCGGATTCTAGGAAATATTTCCTTCATTCCATTGATTAAGTCACCTCGAACGTAGATACCCGACCCTCGTACAATGAATTAACAATAAAGAACAAATTAGCATTACCACAGATTAACGAAAACAGGTCAGAATAATATCCTTGGTATAATTAATAATTTCATCCGCTGTAAAATAAGAAAATGAATAAACATCGCAGAAAAATATATTTTCCGACTACGTAAAGTGAGATCGCACTAAGCTAAGACCGCGTATAAAAAAGTCCCACGTAAACGGAGGCATTACTTACCGGGTATAAAAAGATCGCGGAAAATATGCGTCGCATAAGTTCATACAGTTTATTCGTGCCTTGTTGTAGAGAACGGGAGAATAATAGCATTACTTTGAGTAAATCACGAGTCAAAAGTCCATTGTTAATATGTTCCGCGTTTTGAATTCTTTTTCCTGAAGGACTATCGTCGATTTGTTAGATTCTGTGTGACTACTCACAAAAGCGGGCCGCGCTCGGTACCGAAATAAAAGAGCGCATACCTCGAGTAATATGGTACGTTAACTCGACACGGTACCCTGAAGATTTACACCTTACGATGAATTATAAATCGACTCATTTCGATCGATTCGATGCCGCTACTCTGGCCATCGGCGGGTTAATAGCGCGCATGCTTCGAATAAACGATGCGATGAGTCAAATATTCCGCGGCGCAGATCTCAAAACAAAGTGCGATTATCGGCTGACTAAATACTCACTTAAAAAGTATCTCTTAAGGTGAAGTGAAACACGTCAGGGAACTTGATCGACGTCGACAAAGAAGATTTTTCTAAATACCTACGTTGCCGACGTTCGTTTTTATATTAACAGCTGTGTCGAATTATATTGGGTATTGTCCTAAATGACGTACTCCACTTGTCGTTTTCGTACATTAATTGTTAAAAAATCGAAGTAAAACTCGAGAAATCCTCTGGATTCATCCTTTCTGGGGCCCTAATTCACTGCAAAAGGACCCCTGCGCCATCTGTGATTTCCAGGTCAATTAAATTTTCACTCCGACACCTCGTATTACCATCGTTTTAGCATAGAAGCGCATACAACACTTTTTTTGCCTTTATCCCGTTGAAATGCGAGTTTATCGATTACCAGAGTGTTCTAGATTGTCGTAAAATTGTCCTGACCCTTTCGATTCTCATATCAGAGCCTTCGATAATTGTATATTGATCAAAATATGAGAGCTCGACGCCATTTTGGTTCTGGTCAGGACTGAGTTAAAAAATTTTTTCGAAAATCCAAATGTTCAATCTGTCAAGACAATTCTTAGATGATCACGAGTAACGTGACAAAATTCCGAACAATTTGATCCAATACTCTTAAAAAATAGTGTTGTATTCGAATCGACTGATTTGAAGTGGGTTTCACTTCACCTTAATCGGCACCTACTGAAATGCAACGTAGACATCGAATTTACCGGGAATTATTTCCAGCTACTTCCGAAGGATATATTAAGAATAATTTCAATTGAAAGGCGACATCCATATACAATTCATACCGAAACGGGATATCGAACCAACAAAGGCATCGCATATTAAACCCACGAGGAGGAGGAAATCGCGTATATAGATGAACCTGAAAATTCTTATCTCTTACACTCCTCGTAGTCTCGATTAGTATTCCTTATCTCTTCGAGCATGTCCCCGACGTCCCGATATTGCGCGACTACTCCGAGGCCGATATAACAAAGTGAAAAGAAGAGAAATTACGAGTACCATGCGACAAAAAACGGAGTATAACTGTATCTCTGTATAACCTATCCCTGCGTGTAGTAAGGACGGCCAGTTTCCCGGTGAACGCCACATTTCAAATCCCTCGGTCGGGTTTCAAGGTTCCATTCGAAAGCGGATTTCCATTCGACGAGATTCCTAACATTAAGGAATTCAAAAGTCCCATAGAAGCCCAGATTAGCGCTTGATGCATTAAAAGTTGACTAAGGAACCAGAAGTGGGGGGTAAAAGAGAGATGGCACGTGTTAACCAACGATATCTCGCATACGGGAGGAAGAGAGACGCACATAGAAAGGCGAGTATCGGGTGTAAGATAAAGAAAGAATGCAATTCGCTATATATCGCCATAAGATTAAGAGAGATGGAGGGGTGATTACAGCGCCGCCATCCGTTGGCTAGCATACTATTTATCGAGAATCGAACGTCCGCATCCTTCTGGGCTTCTATGAGGACTTCTGAATTTTTTCCTAGCAGTCGGCCAGGGAGCGTCGACCGCGCATCACCAGCGGCGTAGGACCCTAAAAGCCTGAGGTCAAACCAATGAACGATGGGAGCGGAGAGTAAATTCCGCGCGTCCGAGGCTTCCACTCGAAACCAGCAGAAACCAGGCCGACTACTCGAATCGCCATACGGAGTAAATCCAAAGAGCGTGAAACTCCATTTCGTAATTATTTCGAGCTGGTTTCTGTTTCTTTAACAAGGAATGGTAGAACTTTCGTCGCTTTGTTTACCTGCCAACGGCACAGCTGGGACGAAGAGTGGAACATGATCGCGCGTTGCTCGGGACTACTCGGAACTACTCGGAACTACTCGGGACTACTCGGGACTACTCGGAGAAAGCCTCGGCGAGATCCACGTCGCGGACGACTTGGCAGCGACGCCGCGAAGATTTTCGAGCAGAAATAGCGACCGACCCGTCGCATTCGGCGGTCAACGGACGAGTCACTCGCGTGCACTGTCCGACCATTGCCCGACCATTGCGTGACCACGGCCACATGTAGCGTCCCGCGCGCTACTTCGCCGCTCCCCAGACCCTCTCGTTTCACGAGGCGGAGAGTAGACTCGCGCGGCGCCGCACTTGGGTCCACGAGTAACTATCTTGGATTTCTTTTGCTAAAACAACGCGCCATTGCGTTAGCACCGTCGACAAATTGTTTAGCGATCTCGTTGCCGTGAGTCTATCCGCGGCAAAACGATTACCTGGAAATCGAGTAAATAGTGTTGCCATATATTCGACCGCAAACTGGTGACAGTTTTTTCCAGGGTATTGGGTAAAGTATTTAAGATATTTTAGAAGATACGTTAAGAAAGATGGACATCTAACTGAAACATTATGAACTTAAACTGGGAGAAGTTTCACTTTTGCACCGATTTAACGCAATGACAGACTGCTGTCATGTGCGGTTGCCCTGATTAGGTGGAATTGTCGATGTCGATATATGTAAATATTGTATGTAAAGAATTCAGGAGAGACCTATCGGGTTCCTCAGGTTTCATTCATTTATTTGCCGCTAGAGTCGCGACAACCACTACTGACGTGTCTTCGCGATCCATTTTACGGAGTTATTCGTGATTTTCCAATTTCCCCGTGTCAGCGTAACTTTGCCTAGAGAATGCCTTCCTACATTCACGGAAAACACTTTATTACCTCCGTTTCCTCTCGCGGCGTAATTCTGACAAAAGAATACCTCTACCCTTTTCCATAAAGCAAAAACACTGATAGTGGTTATCCGCTCGTATTTTTCTTTTTTTTATTTGAACTTCTCTGAAAATCGCTGAATTTTTATCCGTTTGTTTTTGGAACCTACAGAAATCCCTTTGGGTATTTTTCATCCGATGTTTCTTTACAAAGGGTTATTGAATCATTTATGGAATCTTTTTTTTAATACTTTTTATTCTTTTTTACTTTATACTATGTAATCTATTTAGTACCACTTTTTTAAACTGACAAAATAGACAAATTGTTATACGTTTACTCATGCCCAGAATGTATTGTTAGGTGCTTCTATGTGATGTTTACAAACGAGATGCAGCGTTATCAACATTTGAGATTTACATTCCTTAATATAGGCACCGTCCTACGTTAATGACTAAAGCAATTGCATATAGGTTTCCTTGCATTTCTTAATATTGCCACAAGCATAGTTATCGATTAATTGAGTTAACAAATTCTTTGAAGAAAGAGGTGATCCAATTTACTTGTGTCACTGACTAAATTAGAAATTAAAGACGATTCAGATTTGGTGTATCATGGAAAACATCCTATATATTAATATATATGAAATGCAAAATTTTCTCCCATTCAATTTGATGTAAATAATAGACGTTTGACAATAATAAAAATTATCTTTTCATTCGATAGACGAAATATTCGCTCTTCAAGATAGCCAGATTCTTCGACTTATAAATTATTTGACAATCTACAGTTACATACTTATTTTAAATACCTCATACATTAATCTAAGTCTTATGATACGATATATATTCCAATTTGGGATATATTCCGTCTAAATACAATTTTATATTATCACATTATATACATATACTTTAGCAAAAATAATACAACACGTCACGGTATTTAATATAATGTACGTTAGATGCTAACAATAAGAACAAAAATGGGAAAACGCGTATTCTCTCTTAAATTCGTAATTATTCTTGTGTAAATTATATGAAAATAATTTAAGGAATTAGATACACCTTTGTTTATTAAATCTCTCGGTAGAATATAAGAGTCAACAAGAAATTTAACAGAAAAATCAAATAGCAATTACATTTCTGCTGATATCTGGAATTTTTTTCTTTTTGTTCCTTTCCTTTATAATAATTTGAATATGCTGGAATTTGTCAGAATTAAGTCAGAAATGATACAAAGTGTGTATATTTAAAAACTGTGAGATGTACCTACTTCCTTAATTTACCTAAACATAACAGTTTTCGCATCACGAGTTAATATGATATAACTTCAAACATTTGATGTTTCCTCTACTGGCTGTGCGTCAGAAATGTTATTCACTAGCTTGAAATTATTAATGTAATTGGACTCTTTTAATGCCCGAAGTTTAGTTTTTGAATCCTTTACAAGCCTATCTTTAAGGTTTTTATTTAAGCATTTCAAGTTGTGCACTTGAGTATTCAGCCGACGGTTGGCTTGCTGTAATACTTTTACCTTCTTTCGAACTCGAATAAGTTCCAGCATTAATTCATCTCGACTTCGCTTTTCAAGCGATGTCATTAATAATTTATCTGATTTCATCTCCCCAAAATTTTTAAAAGTTCTATGATAAACCTTTTGAGGAACTGAAGTGGTAACTCCTCTGAAACATTGGAACCGAGTTAATTGTACTAATCAATTATATAAAGATTGATTCATATTCTTTACTCATACATGATCGATAAAATAATACTTTATAATTCCCCTGTACCTGTCTACATCTTCGGCATCATACAGATTACCTTCCTCTGATTCATATATCTCATTACATTCCCCAGATGAACTTTGATTTCCATAATCATTGTACGTAGCATCCTCATCAGAATTATTTGTCAACGTACTAAACTCGTATTCAGCATCGTCATCAGTTTCTCCAGTATTTGAAGATATAGTCTAAAGATAAAAATAAACTTCATTCTATATTAAAATTAGTCATTACTTTTTCAAACACAATTAGATTTATGAAAAACTATGGCAGAGCATAAGAATAAAATATTAAATCATACAAATTTCAAATACTAACATTTGCACTCACACTCTCTTCAGGAAGATGTAACGTCGGAATTGCCCACTCTCGCAGCGTGGGTCTCATTGTGCTGGGTACATAAGAGTCCGAATCGAAGTGACGTTTACAGATGACATATCTCGTCGTTAACGTCGAAGGGTCGATGTTATCGATCTCTGGGTTTTTAATTGCCTGCTTCCATATGTTCAGTCGAACTGGATCTTTAGGAAGTCGATGAACGGTAATACTGCCTCTTTGAGCCCCGCAAGTAGGAACCACACATCGACCAACCGAAATAACCTTTAAAGGTGGCATTCTAGCTATATCATGAAATATTCTAATAAATAACAAATTGACAAACTATGTGAACAGACGTATTCACAAGTATACACATTGACTTACGTGCAACTTATTAGGCTAACAATCTCGTTTCAAATGTAGCGTATATATTTATAAGTAGGTTAAGATACCTGATTTTGCAGGATATCGTTCACATCTGAACCTTAAACTGCTCAACGCAGATTGTTAATGCTAAACAATGAAATACATAACCAATAACACAACCTCCAAATAATAATAAAACTACTGTTGATAATTTTCTTCACTGCCAACACGTTAAATCCCGAATGGCAAATATCGAGTGAAAATGGAGACCAATAGAAGCACGCTGCGCCAGCTATGCGTCTTTTTCATAATTTAAAAAGCAGCTCGATCGGTAAGGAATAATGTTACTTTATCTACTGAGGTATCTAACTGCTACTACCAATCTACCTTCCACTATATTCATTGTCTAGGAACAATAGACACAGTCGAAACCGAAAGAAGAGAAAACTAACGGAGACTAATGAGCCAGACATTTCAAACGTTAATTCAAATTCAATAGTAGTCAGCGAGCTTTGAAAATATTTTCAGAAGAATATCTTCAACTTTTCATTGCTGCATACAAAGTGCGATATAAACAAAAATCCGAGCCCTGGGTCTTTACGTCGTTCTCTCCATATAGAACATAAGATAGTAAAAGCGAATTTCTAACCACGTTTAGTTCCCGATCTCGGGGCTCGCAGAAATTGCTTGGGTTTGGGTCGGCTAATCGACGCCGATTATTGAAAACCTGCCGGGGACTTATTATTAGTAGGTAGGTACACCAAAAAGGTGAAAATTGCAGTTGCAAGAAGCAGCGCTTGTCCATAAGGGATAATTTATGAGTGCCTTTCCCCTACATTCCGTTCGGCTTAACTTCCACGTTGGAATATTACCAGAAAATTAAAACTGCAGGTTTATCAGCGCAAACGCATGCCACTAGATTACCAAAAAAGCCACGTTCACGCATTACAATTAATACATAATTTCGAGGTACCAACCACATTCAACAAAGCCCAAAGCTAAATTTCTTGAAATTTATTAAAAAATCAACTCACGGAAAACGATCATAAAATTAAAAGCCCATCTAAATAAAACTGTAAACATTGCGTATTAAATGACTTTCGAATATCAAATTCATAATTTCTCTAAAAGCATCTTATCATTTCACTACAACCTTATGTACCGAAAGTGTGTGAATTTAATCTTATTTTTAACAGGGCAACTTGAAATGACCGACTTATCTTGTTGAATTCTTTTTGTCGATTTCTAAGACGAATAACAAGAGTTCCCCCGATTCCGGACACGTATAGGAGGCTCGAGGGAATTTTCATGAAACCCCGGTCCCAGTAGGGGCTGGCCGGTATCGTTTATGCCTGGATTCGAAATGCTAATGAGACAACGATCCGCCGTAAAGTTTCGCAGCATATTGGCACCGCGTCGACTGTTGGCCAGGAGCATTATACCTGCGGTGGAAATACGGCGTCCTGCCGTACCACCGGGCATAAAGTCAAGCTGTAACAAAGGCGGTAAATAGTCAGAGGCAGTCGGAGCAGCCATAGCTTCCCGACTCGTCCCTCGACCCATCTGTCTCTTCGCCTTGGTCCTTCGTCCGCCCACCCCTGCTGTCCCGGCGCTCCCTCTTCACTTTTCCCTTCTCCCTTTTCCCTTTTCCCTACCGCACGACCTTGCTTTTCACGCCTCCTTTATACTCCCTCGTTTCTCTTCTGGCCTTGTCCTCTCGGAGAGCCGAATATTTAAGCCTCCGAGTCACTTTTGCTCCTCGTGGACGGCTTTGACTCTAGAGGGCCCGAGTCTACCGATTATGCTCCTTGCGATTCTTCGCGTTACCTGCCCAATGAATCGTACTTTATGGGTAATGAAGTTCTGCCCCCGACAACCGAAAAAATACGTCATGGGGAAGCAAGTGTAATATGTGCCCATAATTATGAAAGTGGTCTAAGTCATATATTTTTTGCTTCGAAATTACATTGAATTCATTTCGTTTGAAATAATATGGCGTGAAATAACTGATAAACTCATTTTTTTTTTTTAATTTTGACTTAGACCACTTTCATAATTATGGGCACATATAGGCTACGTAATGGCCGATGATGGACCGTAGGAATTAAGGTGAAGTGAAACACGTCGAGGAACTTGATCGACGTCGATAAAGAAAATTTTTTGAAATGCCTGCGTTGCCGACGTTTGTTTTTATATTGACAGCTAGGTCGAATTATATTGGATATTGTACCAAATGGCATACTCCACCTGTCGTTTTCGTACAATAATTATAAAGAAATCGAATAAAACTCCAGAAATCCTCTGGATTCATGCTTTCTGGGGCCCTAATTGATTGCAGAGGAACTCCCTGCGCCATCTGTGATTTCCAAGTCAATTAAATCTTCACTCCGAGACTTCGTATTATCATCGTTTTGGCATAGAAGCGCATACAACACTTTTTTTACCTTTATCCCGTTCAAATGCGAGTTTATCGACTACCAGAGTGTTCTAAATTGTCGTAAAATTGTCCTGACCCTTTCGATTCTCATATCAGAGCCTTCGATAATTGTATATTGCTCGAAATATGAGAGCTCGACGCCATTTTGGTTCTGGTCTGGACCGAATTAAAAAATTTGTTTCAAAAATCCAAATTTTGAATGTGTCAGGATAATTCTTAGATGATCACGAGTCACGTGACAAAATTCCGAACAGTTTGATCCAATACTCTTAAAAAAAAGTGTTGTATTCGAATCGACTGATTTGAAGGGTATTTCACTTCACCTTAAATGCCACGTAAATCCGGGAACGCACTTTTCATTCGAAATATCCGGATATAATTTTTTCCCCTAAGCTAGTTACACTAAGTACGCATTCAATCGGTGATAAAATATCGTTTAACGTTCACTGCGGTGATAATGGCTGTATTAATGGCTTATTTCCACGTTATGTCTGTTTCATTATTCCGGGCAATGCTCGCACATTTTCACTTATTGTTGGACCGAATTATATTCTCTTGTGATTTTGCGGGACCAGTTGCGATACGTTTCCAATTATATTCTGACCCTTTGTAATTTTCTGCGCTGTATGTCCAGAAAGTGGTGGTTTTGACACAATACATTTCTGGCCGGGACCACCGGAAATCTGTGAAGGGGAAGTCGGTGTAAAAGGGGATACCAGTGTTCGGCAGACTATAGAAATCGAACGGCTCATAGGTTCGACACAGTTGCCTGACATAAACAGACGCTAAATTACAAAGATGTATTCCTCCTAAAATGGAAAAAGTGGACGGAAGTTAAAATTTAACGTAACAGAAACAAAAAAAAAGGTAATTCATTCCGTTTTGCTGAAAGTAGGGGGATCATAAAAGAAATTTACGCTCGTAGCATTTAAACGTTAAAATACCGCTCGCCGCATTTCTTACGCACATTTTTCGCATTAAAACTCTGACCACCGCGGGTATTCTTTTCTGAATTATTAAAGTTTCATTCGACTCTTTTATGACCCGTTCCGATAAATTTTTGCCAACGGATTTCTTTGCGACAGGAGTTTCTCTTTCCGCACAAGGAAGTTTCCAATAGGGAAATAAAGTTAATTGAACCCTACTTAAACGAACATTCGGTCACGAGGGATAAACTTCACTTTCACCAATTATGTGTATGGGAGTAAAATAAAATCTTTCGAAAGCGCACATCTTTTATTCTATATGCATAATTGCGCCTTACTCTAGAGAGTCGTGTCTTAGGGAGACTAAACGACTTCGAGCTTTCCAGCCAACTCGTAAACTTTGTCATAATCACTGAGGCCTTCGTTTGGTGTTAATGCGCAATTTTGCCCAGAAAGACATTTAAGTTGTAAACCTCGTTTACGAGGCTCAACTAATTATAACCTTTGCGTGGGTTAATAAACACTTTTAAATAAAAGATATACGATTTATCCACATCACACCGAGGTGAAAAGTTCTGACAACGACATTTATCATTTGATAAGTACACGAGGTGATTCGGACCTCCGCGAAAAAAATCTACGATAAAGAAAGTCTCTTTATTGAAATTTCCTCCCAACAAATTGGTATAATATTTTCTTACTACGGGCTAATAATCATATAGGTATAAATCGGGTAATAGAAAATTGACGAAACCTTCCCTGATTACCGTACCGTGCCACTTCATATTCAATCCATATCGAGAAGTGCACCGCCCCGAATAGACGAAGAATTCAAAGTTGCGCGTCTTCGCTCTTTTCTAATTGCCGGATGGCAAGCACTCAGGGTAATAACACGAGATGGACCAACTTTTACGTTACAGCCCAACTTTCTTAAGTTACGGCATGCAGTTATAAACCGTACATAGGGCATACGAGCATCTCTACTTTCCCTCTTTTACGGTCTTAAACTTCCTACATAGCGGAAAGTCCTCTCATAAACTAGCAATTTCAGCGAAATTTGTAAAACACCGCGTCGCTTCCTTTAGCGTCAGGGAGTAATATCAAAGCTGCCAATTATCGGCCATAACGAGGAGATAATATTTATGAACTCGAAGATCGAACGTATGGAACGATCCACCGTCGAAACGCGCTCGTCTCTTTTCTCCGCGGTCTTAATACTGGATATTGTTTAGTAATTGTATCCAAGTTATTATTTTTTTTCTTCCACGTGGTTTTCAACTTAACTCTATTTTCTTTGACCACGCCAAAGGACGTAAGATACGCGAGACAAGGAAGGAATTCCTTCACCCGGTCTTAATACTCAATATTGTTTAGTAATTGTATCCAAATTACTATTTTTTTTTTTTCCACGTGGTTTTCAACTTTACTCTATTTTCTTTGACCACGCCAAAGTACGTAAGATACGCGAGACAAGGAAGGAATTCCTTCACCCGGTCTTAATACTCGATATTGTTTAGTAATTGTATCCAAATTACTATTTTTTTTTTTTCCACGTGGTTTTCAACATAACTCTATTTTCTTTGACCACGCCAAAGTACGTAAGATACGCGAGACAAGGAAGGAATTCGTTCACCCCCGTCACGCGAGTGGACCTTAGGAAGGATCGGTCGAAATTTCAAGCAGGACAGGATGCATAAAAAGCTCGCCGTCTCGCCGGGACTTTGATATGCAAAGCCGAACGGCGGAATTCCCTAGGATTCCCCGAGTGGGCTCTTGGTCCCTCGCAAACCCGCGTAGACTACCCTGCGTACAGGGTTCGGGGGTTGCCGAAAAAGAAGGGCAACCTTTGCGCGATAAAAGTAACCCCCCACCGATTCGTTTCGAGGG